CTTCAAGAATATGTACTTGATTTTTCATTTGCTGCTTTTTTTCTTTGTGGCTGTGCTAACTTTGTTCTTAAGCTAGCACAGCCATGGGTTTTAGCGAATCGGCTGGAGCAAAAAAATCGGGAATAGAGCAAAAAATTATCAAAAAAATAGCCCTTCAACAATATAGTATGTACTTGATTTTTCATTTGCTGCTTTTTCTCTTTGTGGCTATGCTAACTTTGTTCTTAAGCTAGCACAGCCATGGGTTTTAGCGAATCGGCTGGAGCAAAAAAATCAGGAATAGAGCAAAATATTAGCAAAAAAATAGCAAAAAAATGTGGTATAGGTCGCGTTTGATTGTGCTGAAGTGGCTGTGCCAGCTTAATAGACGTCAAAACCAGGCGAAGGAAAATAATAAAACTGAACAAAAAACTGACTGCTATCATAGAACATCATTTGAGAATATTGAGGTATTTCACAAGCAGGCATTCATTAAAAAAACTCATATCCTCTTGTCTTATAATAAATTTCTAAATAATTATATGAATTAATAACTAATAATTTGAAAATAAATATTTGCATTAAAATTTATTTTTTTTTCATATAGATTATTAAAACGAAATTTGTTGTCAATTGTGTTCATGAAAAATATAAGTTCATTGTACCGATAACTATTTATAAAAAAATTTTCTTATGTTATACACATTTATAAACGTTTCAGTTTTATATCACAACTGGAAAGTATTACGCATAAAAGCTTTAGTGCACGATAATCATGTCCTTGCTTGAATATTACACGGTACGCTATAGATGTGAGAAAATGCAAATTTTTTATTTTATACAAATAAATGTCACTTAGTTATGGAAGGTCAAACATCGTTATTCTATTACAAAATGTGTATTAAAAACGATAAATCATATAATAAAGATAAGCTCATATTTCAAATTTTATGTAGTAAAAAAACATTTCGTATGCGTGTTAAAATCGATCGTTGAAAAAGTATTATGTTGAATTTTTAACATACTCGTGAGTTAATTTAACATAATTCAATAATCATTATGTTGTTGAAACATTTTGTATTAAATTGATTGACAACAATTATTAGTATTAAAGAAACACAATTCATAAACAGGTTTTAGTAATATATAAATGACATAATAATATATAGTTTTAAAACATAAGTTCTAAGTTAAATGAATAAAATGAATGCATTAATTTAAATTACAAATATTAATTTTGCTCAAAAAATATGCTTCTATAATTTGTTTCTAAACTGTATATATCACAGTATTCTATTTCTTTATATGTTTATTTCTTATGTAATTGCATTGACATCTAATATATTCCATCATGTGTTACATTCACATAAAAATTTAAGTGAATCATTAGCCACGTAAAATACGTTGAACTCAACGCAAATTCTTTAACTGCGTAGGATTGGGAAATACTTGATACAGGAAAAATAACATCTTCCCTCACTGTGTATTTATCGATGAATTTCAACATTTTCATATTTTGATACATCGGGGAGATTGTTACAGAACAGGTAAGAAATGTTGAAAATTAAAAAATATACTAAAACTAAGGAAAATATTGAATTTTGATATTTTTTAATTCAGTCAATATTTAAAGAAAGTGTGATATATAATGCTATTACATTAATCGAAAAAATGCTAAAATATAATTGTCGTTTTTAACAATTTTGAGTATTTCTGTTTTTTTCAACATCATGTAATCTCAATTATTAAATTCCTTTCATTACACGTAGAAAATTTTAATCTTATATCAACTTATTAGTGCAAATATGTAGGAGTAACGGCATATATGACTGATTGGTATCTACATTATAAAACTGCACGTGATTTTGTTTTGATTATAGCCCGATTAAATAACGTAATTAAAATCACCGCAGGAAAGTTAATCCATTTATCTGTCTCAACTTTTGGTGATGTAAGTAATGGAGATTCTTCACCGAGATTCGTCGTTTTATTTTAATAAAAAGTTAATAAATTGCATTTCCCTTATACATTATTAATTGTAAACTAGGATCATCTTATAAGAATTGAATAATTGAATTCAATTGTTCAATTGACTTATCCATAATCTTTAAAATACCCATTTAGTACATTCAATTATATGTGGGTGATTAAAAATTTCAAATTTTAATATACTTAGGAGGGTAACCGAATCAGTCAAGTTATTCTTTATTATTTATTTAATACTGATTTGTGTGTGTGTGTGTGTGTGTGTATATAAATAAATATTGTAAATTGTAGCATGATGTTTCCAATATCTATTATAACATGTATAACTTTTCATCAATAATAAATTAATTTATTATATATCTTTTTATAACATACTGCAAAAGGTATGATTTAGGCAATTGATCATTTAACTAAATAATCTGCATGTTTTCCAAATCATATTTTCTTCGAAAGTATCGAATATATGGATAATAATAATTAAAAATATTAGATTAATAAAAAAATTATTAGTAAAGCTAATTATTAAAAATAACAAAATAGAATGTAATCTGTTAGTTTTTTGTCTATATTACTTTTTTTTTCATATTTTTGTTACTAAATGCTGCTTATATTAAGTAATAATATAAAATATTGTTGAAGTACGGGAAATTTAGATCGTTACGCATTCGGCAACTGTCCCCTAATATTCCCAATTGTTTAATTAATTGAAAAATTAAAAAATTATATTTTTTTAATGTACTAATTATTATCATCTTATAAGAATTGAACTCTTTAATTAGATTCATTAAGTTTATTCATTATGCTTAAAGCATCCATAAAATCAATCATATCACATGTATGAATTTTCGAAATTTAATATATCTTATAACATATACAGCTTATAGAATGATGATACTGTTTTTGCATTGTGTAGAAACAAGCATGTTGTTGTTTCAGGTAATTAAAACTTCTATGGTATATTTACATCTCTTAAGAACAATAACTCTGTAAAACATGGTACAGACTGTTAAAGTATATGTTAAAAAATGTGCAAGATATGCACTATATAGAATAAATTAACATATCTTGAAAAAAAGATTTATCCTGACATGCGGTATTATTCCAAATGTATGTACCAAACATTTATTGTCAGGTCAGATATGCAACCACTCTTAGTACAATAAACTGCCCATTGATAACAATGCACTGCGTAACTTCGTGAAGTAATCATGCTGATCCACAAGTGTGCGGCAGGAAGCGCCGAATTGAAAAAGCAGGACGATTGCAGTTTACAATGGAACACAGTGCTTTAACCTAAATTATTGCAACTGAGTATTATAATTAGATATATATTAGTCATCTACACGGAAGATGGAAACAAGTTTGCAAAATTAAACATTTGGTATATTTTCAAACATTTCATTACATAGCTATGTTTGAATATTATAATATACATGAAGAATATTATGCACAAAGTTTGACTTGCTAAAATATAAATTTAATTGGATATTATTGCATTTAAAATTATGTTAAAATCATGAATATAAATATTTATTATTAACGCATATTATAATATTTTTATAATATACGCTAATAATACATTTAAATTATTCATATTTTTTAAATAATTTTATGTCTATGTCTTTTACAAATGGATATTGAATTTCTGTTTTCGAAATACAGACCACCTGCTGAGAGTTTCGTGAAATGCTATCTCGTCCTAAATCAAATTAATATACATCAATAAATTAGGTGAGTTTTTTTGTTACTTTGTTGAATAATTTGATCAATCACATAAACTAATAAATCACATAGTTAGATTAAATTTTTTAATCCTTTTCTCTATATCAAGTTATTTGTTTGACTTAATTTTTATTCATTTTGAATCGAGTATAGTTCATATATAACTAAAATTACTCTCAACCCTGAGACATAGGTCGTTCCACCCGTTTCTCCAGAATGTTCTCTTCCCCACAGATTTTTTTATAGTGAAAAATGAACTTTTAATGTCACTTCCACGAATCTATCTTTACACTCCTCACGACACGCGATATTTTCTCATACATCGAATAATAAAAACCCTCGACGAACAATTACATCGACGCCCCTCTCAGGGCACTTTTATGATATTAGATCGTTCACCAAACTCTTCTAAAGATCGGCGCAAGCGCTTCATCGTATACTGGCACGATGAATTGTCTATCCGTGTCAGTGCATCATATGCTTTCGTGCAGCGATCATGTCAAATTTCAAATGCGTGCCAGAGAGCGACAGATCAAAAAAACATAACGATTACAGTTTACAATTTAATCGATGGTTTCTCAAACCAATCGGTGCGTGGCCACAAACAGATGCGTCGAGCCTAGTGTGGAAAATCTTGATATTACTACAAATTTTCATTTGTTCGAGCATAGTAGCATCCAACATGATACCGTGTTTATTATATGTATTATTTGAGAAGGCCAACATCAAACTGAAACTGAGTGCCATTGCGCCATTGCTTCACAGAGTTATGGGCTCGGTACATTACTGGGTGCTGCTTAAGCGTAGTGGTGATATTAGCAATTTAATACGACACATGGAAACAGATTGGTGTCTCATACAGGGGTTCGATGATCGTG